CAGTTAAAGGGTTAAGTCAATTGGCATTGACAATTGACATACTTTAAGTCCTGCAAGTTGCAAGGTGGGGCCTCCATGGATCCGATTTGTTGGGCCAGAACATCAGATGCTCAAATCAGATTGAGATCTGGGAAATTTGATCTGATAAAACAGACGCCATCGAATGTGAGCATTTGCCCACTCAAGTCGGCTACGACGATGAACTGCAGTCAGGTCGAGACCCCGATGAGGACGATGAGCATGCAGATGACCTTCTCTGAGACGGTTTCTGACAGTTTGTGCAGAAATTCTCTGGTTATGCAAACTGATTGTTGAAGCAGCTGTCCGGGTGGCTGGTCTCAGACGATCTTGGAGGTAAAGATGCTGGATGTGGAGGTCCTGGGCTGGTGTGGTTATACGTGGTCTGCGGTAGAGGTCTGCACCGGCTTTAAACTGAAGCCCGAACCCAGCCCGTACCCGCGATCATTTAACCTGACCCGACCCGACCCGACAATTACATTTACATATTAAGCCCGAACCCGACCCCAACCCAAGGTCCATTCTGTTTCTCACAGCAATACCATTTTTGCAATATGCTATGTTGTATTTAATGATTGCTTGACATATTAAACAAATACATGGCGCAGCGGCCCTATCAGCAGGCAGCACAGCAGTAAGAGAAAAAACTTACCAAGTAATTTTTTGCTTTATCAGACTCATGGTTTGCTTGTTGTCGTCGGCTGTCTGTATTGTGACTGAAATAGCGCGCGAGAGCGGTAGCACATGCGCAAAACAGTTTTGTGATATAAATGATATGATAAAATAAAACAAATAATTAAAAAATTAAATAATTATATTTATATATCATTATATTTGAGAGAGAGACCCTGTATGCACATATTGCACATCTGCGCAAGTAGCCTATACTTTCTCTCTCTCGCGTGCCGGTCACCACAACACAGCAAGCAGGCAAAGCACACGGCACGCAAACTTTAGCCTATTTAGTTTTTCTTAGTTAAACCCGAACCCGACCCGAACCCGAGGCTGTTCATTAACATTAACCCGAACCCGACCCGAAACCCGCACATTTTTCGGGACCCGTCGGGCTCGGGTCGGGTAGCAGACCTCTAGTCTGCGGTTGTTGGATGTACTGCCAAATTCTTTGAAATGCCTTTGGAGACGACTTATGATAGAGAAATGAACATTCAATTCAAGGGCAACAGCTCTGGTGGACATTCCTGCTGTCAGCATGCCAATTGCACGATCCCTCAAAACTTGCGACATCTGTGGCATTGTGCTGTGTGATAAAATTGCACATTTTAGAGTGGCCTTTTTATTGTGGCCAGCCTAAGGCACACCTGTGCAATAATCATGCTGTCTAATCAGCATCTTGATATCCCACACCTGTGAGTTGGACGGATTATCTCGGCAAAGGAGAAGTGCTCACTAATGGCGCTTTTCCATTAACAGTACCAGCTCGACTCGACTCGACTCGCCTTGGCTCGCCTCGACTCGGCTCGCTTTTCGCTCCGTTTTCCATTGCAGAAAGTACCGCCACAAATAGTACCCGGTCGTCATAGCGACGCCTTTCGTTCCTCGTTGCCCCATCAAGCTCTCGCTGGATCCTCTCTTCGGCAACCAAACAAAGGAATGTCTGCACCTCCTCGTTTGACCACGGCGTATTCTTCCGAGTTGCCATAATAATAGTAGTAAGTTTAGTAACTATCTCTGGCCAAACTATTTAAAAATGGCGGTGCGGGGTTATTCTGGATACTCCATCTGGCGCGTGCAATGATGACGCAGTGAATAGTGACGATTCTCTCTGACCAATCAGCAGTCGGCATTGTTTTCACGTCACATTTTAGTATCGCCTCAGCTCGCTCAGAACCTCGCCGGAGGTGGTACGAAAAAAAGTACCCGAAAGCAGGTACAGGTACAACTTTTACACAGTGGAAAACCAAACAAAGGCGAGTCGAATCGAGTCGAGCCGAGCCGAGCCGAGGCGAGCTGGTACTGTGTAGTGGAAAAGCGCCATAACACAGATTTAGACAGATTTGTGAACAATATTTGAGAGAAATAGGCCTTTTGTGTACATAGAAAAAGTCTTAGATCTTTGAGTTCAGCTCATGAAAAATGGGGGCAAAAAAAAGTGTTGCGTTTATAATTTTGTTCAGTGTATAATTAATTAAAAACTGTACATCGAAACCAACAAATACCTGCATTATCAGTATATGCCATGGTGATGTCAAGCTTAAAGAGATATAGAAAGAAACAAACAGGATATGTTTATCTGCAGGTTGGTACAAGCACAGGATATGTGGTTGTTGCTCTTAAGCTTGGTTAGTGTCGGCTAAATGGAATCTGTTTATGAGAAAAAAATATAAGACCACAAGAAGCACATTCAGTGTCAGGGTGTTTATTGAGAGCTCAATGAAACAGAATATGATGACTGACAGTCAGCAGATGTGGATCTTCTCATAGAAGCTGCAGTAGGCCTACCCAACAACAATATTGTGAAGCATCAGTCAAACCTTGAATACAAGTTGATATTAAATAGTTGTTTGATGTGAGCAGTGTATAATGGTAATAATCTTCAAAAACATAGCTACCTGTAGCCTACACAACAATTATCTTTGCTGATGATGAAATAAAAAGAACAGCTCAGCCAGAGCTATTGTAGTAAAACACACACACACACACACAGACAGGAGTAATAGTGTTATAGCGTGCTTTGTGTGAAATGTGAAGACGTTATGTGAAATGTGCTATGAGAACAATAGGCCACAAACCTCTCCACACAGTTCATCCAAATTATCTTAAACAATAAATTATTATATTGTTACAATTCAAATCTATAGCCTACAGGGATACATAAAGACATATGGCGTTATTTTTGTCGATTTACCGTCCAAATTAGAAAAGTGCTCGAGCAGTCTACTGGGATACTTCAGGCAAGCGAGACAGTTCTGTTCGCGTATCGTGATTTACCAAAATAGCCTACACAATAACTACACTACACACCTTGATTCTTGTCTACATTCTTGATTCTTGAAAAGTTTTTTTTTAAATTATATATATATGTATATATATATATATATATTATATATATATAATAAAAAAAAAACTTTTCAAGAATCAAGAATGTAGACAAGAATCAAGGTGTGTAGTGTAGTTATATATATTTATATAACTATTTATATATATATAAAGTAAAGACGTTTATCGAGACTATAATTATATAATTAACACCCTGATGAAGACCATTATTTAGTATTTTGCCAAGTTAAGAAAGAAGAAACAGGTTTTTAGGTTACCTATACACATTTTGCAAGCATGGTCAAAAGCATCTCATGCAGGATGCAGACTAGACTTGACATGTTCACACAGGCTCCAGCTTTAATGCTAAAGTCATGTGATATGAGGGAAGAGGAGAATTTGTATAGACCAGCCTTTTGATCTTAACCGCAAGAAACAGAGGGATATGAGGTTAAAATTAATAAATATGCTGTGTCTACAGCAAAAAAAAAAAAAAAAAAAAAAAATCTGTCTATAGGCATAGCTTCACAATAAAAGGCCTGTGATGGAGATAAAGATGTGCCTTTTTTTTCATAGCATACATCAATCATGGCCGACAACCTCGGAAACTTTGTGGTTTAATGCATCACCATCATGAATTCTTTCGATTTCTATAGCCTATAAAACCAGACCAGATTCTCGGCAGACCGGTCAGAGTGAGTGACTGGATCTTTGGTAAGTGATGCATTATCCATTTGCTATACAGAATTTACGATTTTGAAAGTTAAAGAGGCAGAAACAAGTAAATAAAGTGATAGAAATTTAACAGAAAAAAGTGAATGCTTGCACTGATAGCCAGAAGGATAAAGTCATAGCCTAAATGAGTGGTTAGAAATGATTGATTCTGACGAAAATTGGGTATGTTAATGAATACTAAAGCTCACTAATCTAATTTGTTCAGTGTGGTTGAATCTTGAGTCTGTGTGGGAAAATATTCCTTGCAGAATAGAGGAGCCCACACATGATTCATTATCCCGAGAGACATTAGACACATTTAGGATAGCTGGACTACACTGTCCAGACACTTTATCCGTCTTCTTCGCCTCTTTAGTCAATTAAACTTTAGCATTTACACTAGATATAGCGGTAAAGAAAAGCATTGGACCACTAGAACCATTTTTTCATTATGAAGGTGAGTAGCCTGTTAATTATGCACTGCATGTGTGAGCATTATTTTGATTTTTTTATAGCTTGAATTAGTATGTACTTTATACCGTCATACTGATATATCAGTTTTCACCAAACAATTTATTATGCTCCCCACATTTCTCCATAATTTACCCGACTGTTTCTGTTCTTCCATAGGTTTCAGTTTCCACTTTACGCAAGGGAACGTTCGCAGGGCGCTTCGGCTTCTGGCGCGCTCAGTTCAAAATGTTTAAAACCATTACCCTGTGTGAGTACTTGATGGACATGTCCTTTTGATTTGTTGAAATGCTTCGTCTGAATGAAGCATAAATGCTCAGGCAAATTAGTGAAATTAGCAAGAGGTGAAACAGTCCTTACGAAAATTAATTTGACTATAAATCTTTTTTTATCGTAGCCTAGCCTAAAAGTAATCATGTTTTTTTTTGGCAGATTGATTTCCATTTGTATAACCACAGTTTTACTACAAATACCACTGTTAAAATATGGTTAGTGTAGCAAAACAATGGTTAATTTGTTTAATTTTCATTGTCATGAAAGCATGTCTTTCTCATTCATAAGAAAATAAACCGAAACCACTGTCACGTGTGGGTAAATATTCCTGTATTGAGTAAATGGAAAAATAGGAACCTTTTTCTGGAAATTGAAAACAGAACTCAAAGGCAGCTATACTGGATATTTTTTAACATTAGTTTAGAATTAGACAGCACTTTTGAAGCATCTTCTGCTGCTGTTCAGTTTTCTGACTACTTATCCAAAACTTATTTTGGACAAATTAGTATGTTCTATGTTGAAACCTTATAGCAGCAAGAAGAACAAGCACCAACCCTAATAGATTTAATTTTCTAAAAACTTTTGAGAAACTTCAAACTTCCCTCAAACTGTTTTCTGCAGTATATGTGGTGGTGGCACTGATCTTGGGTTCTGCCTACCATGCTGTTGGAACTACGGATGATCCTCTTTTCCAATGCTTACAAGACCCTGATTATGATTACCTTCTGAAGATAACGGAACAAGGTCTTCCTCCGACAAAGACCCCTCAACATGTAATAATTGTTGGAGCAGGCGCTGCTGGACTCACTGCGGCTAAGTTTCTGGAGGATGCAGGTCACAAGGTAACACTGTGGGCTACAAAAAGGAAGCAAATATTGTCTTTCTGTCAGTTGATAGATAATTAGAAATAATTGGATATGTTAAAGCAGATCAATACAATAGGCTATATATTTCCCATTTCTTACTAAATGACAGGAATAAAACTGTTATCTTTAAATTGCCGGCCTTAACCCTTTATGTGCAAGTAGACGCATCCATGGTCTCGATCCTTGTCCTAACCACTTTCACATGATTTATGATGTGAGCAAACATAGTAACTTTCTGCTAGTTCAAAGATGACGATTCCAATCTCATGGCATGGCATTTCCAAGCTCACACAATGCTGAGGGAGGAAGTAATTTTTGTGACTTATATGAAAAAAAAAAAAAAAAAACGGGAAGTAATCAAAATTACATACAGTGTGTTGTTGGTAAAGCAGAGAAAATGTTGCTATGCACGTGATTTCTCTAAAGCACTAAATTATTTATTTTTATTCAAGAACATTTTTGTTGTTGAATCCCATTTCTATTTAATATAAGTCATTATAAGAATATGCCAAATAGCCTTCTAACTCTATTCGGGTATTTTCTATTTATCTCTTGCTTATGCATGATCTTTTTTCTCTGCTCTTATAGGTGACAATTATTGAGGCAAGTGGCCGTATAGGTGGAAGAATTCTAACACATAGGGACAAAAGAGAGGGCTGGTTTGCAGAACTTGGTGCCATGAGGATCCCAATTTTCCACAAGTAAGTTAAGTTATTTTCAATCTCTAATTAATTCTCTAATTTTTAAAGTCAAATCATCATTTTTCTTATTCACCTCATGTGAGGTTAGGGTGGAAAGTACAGTCATTAGTGTGAAACTGTATCACAGCCACATGAGAGTAAAGATAAAAGTGCAGAGATTGAAACTGAGGTCATCAAAAACTGACGCTAAGTGACAATGACCCCTGCTGGTCAGAAGGTGGAGCTGCAGGCCACAACTTGATCAACCTGTTTGATTGATATCACTTTACTTTTAAGGATTCTCTTGAATTTCGCAACCAAGCTGGGCCTGAAGTTTGGAAATTTTCAGCAGGAAGACGAAAACACTTACTATTATATAAACGGATTTCGTTATAAAACCTACACCGTGAGACAGAACCCAGACGTACTGAACTACCCCGTATATGACTGGGAAAAGGGGAAAAATGCCAGTCAACTGTTCAACATAGCACTGGGCAAGGTGAGAAAAGAAAAACTTTCTTTTTGTTCAAAAACACATATATTTGTCCAGAGTCAGAATAATGGTATGCTGTTACAACCACTGACATTTTTTCCCCCATTATGCTTTACTCGTCTATTTTATTTTTCCTTCTTTATCAGTTAAGAGATGATCTGCAAAAAATGGGGTGTGAAAAAATGTTGAACACGTATGATTCATACTCAGTCAAGGTAACAAGGAATTTTTGAAATTCATTAAAGTCCAGATACGAGTAATAATGGCTGAATGTCTCTAAATCTGATCGGCAACAGGAGTACTTAGTGAACGTGGGAAATTTGAGTAGAGGAGCTTTGCGGATGATTGGTGATGTCCTGAATGAGAACAGTTTTTTCTACACAGCCCTCACTGAAATGCTCTACATCCAGTCTGATGTAAAAGACGATGAAACGTAAGCATTTATTTGATAAAAATTAGGTTACACTTTATTTTGACGGTCCCCTTTAGACATTCTCTTGACTAAGTAACGCTGCAACGACAGTAACTCTTATTAGAGTAATAGTAGACTGTTACGAGTAGAGTTAGGGTCAGTAGAATAAGTTGACATGTACTTGCAAAGTTACTCATAGTCAGTAGAATGTCTGTTGGGTGAGCATTCGGGTCAGCCTAAGGCACACCTGTGCAATAATCACAGGTGCTAATAAAGAGTTAGCAGATATTAAACAGACGGCCTACTAATACTTTAACAAGAGTTAGTAGTGCAACTTTACTCATAGCAGAATGTCTAAAAGGAACCATCAAAATAAAGTGTTACCTACGAATACAGTAAAAACTCTAATATTGTGAAATATTAACTATTTTCTATTGTAATATATTTTAAAATTTCATTTATTCATGTGATGGTTTTCAGCATCATTACTTCAGTCTTCTTCAGTGTCACATGATCCTTCAGAAATCATTCTAATATGCTGATTTGGTGCAATTTTTTTTACAATTATTATTATCAATGTTGAAAACAGCTATGGTGCTTAATATTTTTGTGGAAACCATGATTTTTCAGGATTCTTTGATAAATAAACCCCCTCAAAAGAACAGCATTCATGTGAAATAGAAATCTTTTGTAACATTATAAATGTCTTCACTTTTGATCAATTTAATGCGTCCTTGCTGAATAAACATATTCATTTCTTTCCAAAACAAATCTTACTGACCCCAAACTTTTGAACTGTAGTGTATATCAGTTAAAAAAAGATGTGAAACATATAAAATGCTCTTTTTCAGGTATTTCGAATTTACAGGTGGCTTTGAAACATTCTCAGACACATTCTACTCAGTGCTAAATGCCACAGTCCTTCTGCACTCAAAAGTCCAGGCCATCAGCCGAACGCAGGACAACGTGACAGTTTCATACCAAGACTGGCGTAATCGCGGCAGCATGACCAACATTACTGCCGATTATGTCTTGGTGACAGCCACAGCCAAAGCAACACTCCTCATTGACTTTAACCCGCCTCTGTCTGCCGAAAAGATGGAAGCGCTACGGTCGGTGCACTATTCCAGCTCCACAAAAGTAGTGCTAGGTTTCAGCAAAAAGTTCTGGGAGATTGATGATGGCATCAAGGGAGGGAAAAGCATCACAGATCTGCCATCCCGGTTCATCCACTACCCCAGTCATGAGTTCCCCGGGATATCAGGCGGGGCTGTGTTAGCTTCTTACACCTCCTCGGATGATGCTGCACTCCTACAGACTTTAGAAGATGAGGAGTTGAAGGCTCTGGTCTTAAATGACCTGGTGAAGATCCATGGAGAACACATCCGCCAGCTCTGCACCGGCGGTTTTGTGAAAAAGTGGGGACTAGATCCTTACAGCCACGGTGCCTTTGCTATCTTCACTCCTTTTCAAATGAGAGACTATAATGTGTCTATAGTCCAGAATGAGGGGAGGATTCACTTTGCAGGAGAGCACACGGCCAGACCTCATGGCTGGATCGAGACTGCCATGAAATCTGCTCTGCGAGCGTCAGATAAAATAAATAACGATGTAAAGTAGGAAACAAAAAATGATGGTATGTCTAATAATAGATTGAAGACATTTTTAAACCCTTAAATTGCCTAATTTCAATTTGACCCCTTTTGTTCTCTATATTTCCTTCAAAAATGACTTTAAACTCTAGATATCATCACCCTGTCAACTTTTCATCGTCAGATTTGTTCCTTCCACTAGCCTACCATGAAACCATTTGCAAAAAGTAAATTATATAAAAAATCCCAATGACCCTTTTTGGAGTAAATGAGTAAATTGAGTTGCGGGATTTGATTTTTAATGGAATTTTATGTAAATACAGTGATTATTTAAACACGTATGCGGAAATCATAACACTCAATACAATGTAAGATTAACCATTATTCTGAATTATATTGCAAACTGTCAACATATAATGTAACAATGCACCTAAACTACACAAAAGCAAGACATTACATTTATTCATAATATTTTTAAATGTTTTTTTTTTGCTGAAATGTTATCTCCTTATTGATTTTTCTGCCAATCTATTTGTACGATTATTTTATTATTAACATTATTAATATATATATATATAAACATAAATAATTTTAAAAGTTGAGTGAATGCATTAATAAATGTTAATTTTCAAGTATTTGTCATGTCCCTTAATTTTAGAGTATTTGTCATGTCCCTGTATTTGTTAAAATGTGTTATATAGATTAATAAAATACTCTATTTACTAAAAAAAAAAGAGTTGTCTTTTATTCATATGCACATTTTGCCTAGACGACTTAATTTGCTGGCATTTTTCGGATATCTGAAAAGAAGGAGGCATAGTGATGAGTAATAATCCATCTCTGTTCATCTGTTTTACTCTTTTGGAATACAGTGAGTTAATTTATTCATTTACCTAAATTATTATTTTTTGCAACAGATAAGAGGCTAAACAGACACCCTAACGAATGCTAACATGTGGTAGTTTTGTAATATGTCTTAAAATTATATCAAATCCACCCAAGTTACTTGACAAAGAGAAGATCTGCCAACAGTTACAAAATTTGGCAATTTAAACACATTAAAAACATTTACAAATTTATATATACTTAAATGATATATCTAGGATTGTTTTGTTTTTTATTAAATTGTATTGTTTTGTTTTACATGCATTCAGTCTATTTAACTCATGCGTGAAAAGGTTCATTTCATCACAACGGTCACATTTAGTATATCCGGGTGATTCCAGTGACCTTGGATTGGTTGTGAGAATCATGGCGGCTCTTGTCAGGTTAAGTTCTGTTTGCCACAGAGGTGTCAGCCGTAAGTTTGTGTTTTTCAGGTTTTTGTTGTCGTCGCCTCAGGCCGTATCACAATAGGTTAGCTTTAATGTCTACTATAAAATAAGTCATTGCTTCATTGACGTTTCATATTTATCGCAGCACGCGTACTCGTAGTTTATGGCTAACGTTAGCATGCTAACTTATGTCAGAGATTTTTCAGCTTGGTGTCTCTTCTCTTTGTCTCAATTATTGTAAAGTAGTTCGTAATAACGAACACAGTAAAACAGAGACTAGTGGATGACATGGATTTTATTAGCGTATAATAATGTCTGCACGTTAGAGTATTTGTCATGTCCCTGTATCTATTTTTATTAGTTAACGTTACACATGCTGTTAAGGCTGTACATAAAAGTCATATTCTCATAATTGAGAATCTCATAATCCATTTATGTGGGATGTTTTTAAAGGAATTGTCAAGTTGAAGCATTGTATAACATCAACAACGTCCTCCTTCTTTACAGATTAACATCAAATTCGTACATGCATTGCTTAAAATGTTTGATTATGAATACATTTTTCCTTTTAATTATGTATGTTTTCTTGTATTTCCTCTTTTTTATGCTTTCCACAGCTCTGTTATTTCGCTCTTCTTCCCTCATCAGACCTTTGGCCATACAGAAGAAGGATCATGATTGTCCATACTTGATATCCGCAAAGATACATGCTACCCCTTCCAACTATGGTTAGTGATTTATATCCTATGTTTGCTTTTGTAGCAATGTAAATCAAGGCAGATGTTATTTGTCTTTTCCTTTCATTTTATTAGCATACTATATTGTTGATGGTACTGTCAGACTGGACTAGAGCCTTTTTATTGCATCTGAATACAAGTGTTTTAATCTCTTTCCCTTCCAAAAATTGGAAATTTCTGTCATTTGTGTCAGGTTTTTTCTGACGAATTGCCAAATAATATAATCACTGGTAAAGACAGAATGGTTGAGAATAAAAACATTGGTAATTCAGAGCTATAGACTAAACATAATAAACTTTTTTTTTTTTATCTGTTGGGGTACATGATGATTAAATGCATGCAATAAATGTGATGGCTTGAGAATTAGACTGTATAGAGAATGAATATGTGTTGATGAAGATGCTCTCTCTTGAAGAAGCAGGTGTTGACATGTTACTGTTTAATTGTTTATTTTTTAGCGGGCTCTGGGTCCAAAGCTGCTTCCTTGCACTGGACCGGAGAGCGGATCCTGAGCATAGCTCTTCTGGGCATGGCACCCGCTGCGTATTATTTTCCCGGCCCTGCTGTTGACTACTCTCTAGCAGCTGCCCTTACTCTACATGGTCACTGGTAACTGAATTTATGTTTTGTTGTTATTGCTTTTCTCTTTTTTTTTCTTCTTTTTTTCTGAAAATGGAAACTGTTGGGGGGGGGGACGGATCAATTATCTGTAGATGTTGTCACAGTAAGTTGTAAATATTCCGGAGTGCCTGGTGTAATTCCATATTAGGTTTCACATTAACCTTGACAGGTCACTGTTGCATTATTCCATAAAATTGTTTCTGACACAAAATGAAGGCGTCTACTTTGGTCTGCAAAGCCAAGTCATGGGTGGCTGTAATACCCTTCATGCAAGGATTTAACCGCCTGTGGACATGAGCACTCAAGGCCACACTTCTAATTTTAGCTAAGCTGTTAGTTACATTGGGGTCACCGATGTACATATACATACACATGCTTTTTAAAATGTATTACATTCAGTTGTAAATGTGGTAAAGTACTAGCTAGCTGTAACAGCTTGGCTTTTAAGCATGTTTGAGTAGTCTTACAGAATTTTGTCAGTTTTTATGCAACAGGCTACTCGTATGTCACCCACCTGTAACATAAATAAGAATCATAGTATTGTCATGTTTTAGCCCACATCTAAGGATGTCATATTTCAATAATTTTTAGTTAAAATAAAAAAAGATCAATTGAACATTAATACAGCAGAATAATAGCTATATCTACAAATACCATATGCATGTTGCATTTTGTGGATTGGACAAATTTTCACAAATTCCCATGATCGATCGTCATTTAAATTAACAATCGATTAAACGTTAGCCTTAATACTGCAATATGCGTCTGCTGCAGTGGCATATGGCCAACAGCATGACAGGGTCTGCAAATGCTGACCAAAATGACATGTTCCTCACCAAATGAATGAGAAGAGTTTTTAATCTAAATAAACTTAAACCTAAAGTAGGATTGTAAAATGTTTCGATGTGATTGGTCATTTAATGAAATAACTTAGAAAATATAATGACTAAAACAACGTGTCACCAACACCGCCTCAGATGCGTGCTTGTCAGAATGTGTACGCTCTTCCTGGAACAACGTGCTGAAAACGCGATAGTTTAAATATTATTAAACTATTATAAAATAGTGTTCTCATGTTATGTAATATATGACAGTCCATTATATCTACACAAAATGACACGAATGCACAAGTGAACTTGAACCAAGTTACGTGCCATTCAGAATGACTCATGCTGTGGACGCGCTCTTACTGGAGCAATGCGATGAAACACGGCAACTAAGCCCAAATATTTCACAATGTTATATTACAATATTGTTCTCTTTATAATGTTATGTAATATGACAGTCCCAATCATAGTCATCATTATTAGTCGTGCAGTGCCGTTTGAGCTGCGCGCGCTGAAGCTGATCACCGTACGCTTTACTACAGCGTTAATTGTTAACCAAATGCATCCTATATAAGATAAATCAGATATAGATAGGCCTACACAATATTACAACTTGCATATGCACAAAACAAAAGGCTGCAAATGCACACGCAAACTTATAGTCATGATGAAGGTGTAAAATGGTCCCAAACATAACTCTGGCGTGCTCGCTTTACATGTTTCGCGGTTGAGCAGTGCGCATGAACCTGCTTAATCGACGATCGATAAGTTTTATCGATTAAATTTATTATTGACAATTAATCGATCGTCGATAAGTTTTATCGATTAAATTTATTATTGACAATTAATCGATCGTCGATTAATTGTTGACATCCCTAGTTTTGACCAAGTAAAACATGGCGTCATCAAGTACTCCTTCGTTATTGTTTTGAATAAGGAACCTCTAGTGGCGAAACTTACATTCACACATTTATGCATTTGGCAGACACTTTAATCCAAAGCGACTTACATTGCATTTCAAGGTACACATTTACATTCTCATCAGTTCTTGCTTTCCAAATCGAACCCATGACCTTGGCGTTACAAGCGCCGACGCTCTACTGTTTGAGCTACAGGAAAGCCTTTAATACATACTGTGCCTTTAACATCCTCTTGCAGTGTTTACAGTGACATAATCATTATTTATAGAAATGATTCAACACCTGAGAGGGCTGTTCCATAAAACAAGATTAGAATACAAGCCAGGCTTATTTTGGTTAGTCAGACTTATTGTTGGTTGATTCTGTTTCATAAAGCAAACTTAAAATAGTTCAAACTCAGTTACTCTGGCAACTTATGCTGGGAAACTATTCTGGTCCAGGGCGGGCTAACTGTCAGGCTAAGCCTCAGCTGTTACACAGACACTGACCGACAGGAACACAATGATATTACCTCTGACACTCTCTCATACCATTATTTTATTACTTTATTAACCACTATCCGTCCAAAAATAAATTGTATACAGGAATAATTACAAAAACACAGTATACATTTGAACTGGTATGAATCTGAGCTTAGTAATTAGCCTACAGTATATTAGCCTACATTTGATTTACCCCATTACAAAATGTATATTTTAGTCAGATTTATTGCGCTCCTATTTGTCACACATGCGCGCAGCAGCGCTCGTTCAATGTGAAGTTTAGCAGCAAAATGGACATATTTGCACGACTTTCTAACATTTACAGATGGAGAATATTCCTGTGAAATGTAAAAGGAAAAACAAAACATGTCTCGAATGCATTAAACAGCACAAAATATACGCTGTTTGATGGTGGATCGATGATCGACCTCTAGGGCTGCTTCAGAAACGCGTGCACACTCGATTATCTAGATAAACCTAGATCAAATTAGTAGGATTGCGTGAACTTCAATGACCTTTTATGAAACCGCTTTAGCCCCAACTTATTTGTTAGGTCCATTCAAGTCAGGTGTTGGAGTTTAATCCCCGCTTTTCTTAGCGTCTTTTATGGAACATCCCTCTGATAGGTTTGGCTTCTTATGAACCAAGTTTACATGTCTTAGATGATTTCTTTTGCATTTGCATTTGAGCTGAAACAACAGTCATAAATCTAAAAGCTCAATTAATTACATTGAGGAAAAAAAGATTGCTGATTAATCATTAACACTAGTACACATAATAAGTGCCATTGATTGAAAAGGACAGCGTTGCATAACTGTGTTTTCTCCAGGGGTCTTGGCCAGGTTTTGACAGACTACGTTCATGGAGACTTTAAAGTCAAGATGGCTAACGCAGGCCTCTTTGTTCTGTCGACCGTCACCTTCGCCGGCCTGTGCTACTTCAACTACCATGACGTGGGGATTTGTAAAGCTGTGGCCCTCTTGTGGAGTAAATGACTGGACTGAGATGAGGGATATGGGTGGTGTGGGATCCGCTTCCGTCATCAGAGTTCCAGTTTATTGTATACAGTTGTGACATATGTAAATTCTATGAATATATAATTTTTGACAACACATGGTGTCGATTTGCAGGTGTTTTTTTATTTGTAAATGCTGTCAGTTTATTCAGAACATGCTCAGCTTTTGCTTAAGATGAAATACTCTGCATGTCATCCACTCTCTCTTCTGGCAAATCAGTGTTTCTGATGCAGCAAAATGAACTAATTGTTGTGGCTATAAGACGGTTGCTGTATTTGAACTTGAAAAATCACTACGGTTATATTAAAGTTCAAACACGTTTTAATGTATTTACATGTTTTGGACTTATTTATCCAAAAATGCCTTTTTGTCAGCCAGTATCTGATGTGTCAAAATGTAACATCTTGACTTATGCTGTTTATGTCAGCATGACATGCAGAATTAACCTGACTTTATCTTTAATGTCTCCTTGTGTAAACAGGAAGTGATTTTTAACTTGGATCATGAGCACATTATGTTGTACTGTGGTGCACAGATATTAAACTGATGCTATACACCAATATTTCTGTTTTAGAGACACCGACATTTAAGCATGGTATTTATTTACCATCATATTCGAGTCCTCCATTAATGACCACAACATCTGGGGAGTTATCATATTAACTGTATTTCAACTTTACATGTTGCATGGCTGTATTTCTTCTGTCCTGAGGAATAATTTATGAAAAGCAATTTGTAATTGAATGCTCTGCCTTTAAAACATTTATTTGAATTACGTTTTTAATTTTAAATGGCTTAGATGTCTTTAAAACAGGCTTGTGATACTGGTTACAGTAAACTGAACTTGTGTGGTTAATCAAACTGAAGTGAGTTTGGGATTTTTTTCGGACTGATTTTGATCCTGTAATCATGTTCTTGTAGACCTCTTAAACCGCTCAGACGTGATTGAGTCTGGCTTTCTTGAGTGTGTCTGGTTAAAGTGCTATGGAGATTTGTGTAATCTGTATGATATTTATGCAGATTGAAGCTTTTGGCTGCACTATATTAAATAATAAAGGCAGTTTTGGGATTATTTGGTTTCTTATGGAGCCAACAGGATTTTCCAAAGTACTATGGCAAAATTAAAACAGGCAAAATTAAAAGAATAAATGATTCTCCAGTTTTGCAGGTACAGAGTGTATGGCCTGGTTTCACAGACAGGGATTTACAATTAATAAGGCATTTAAGTAGATTTTTATAAATTTGCCTTATAAAAAAAGCATTATTGGTGTGCATCTTGAGACAAAACAATGGCACTGGCATATTTTAAGATATGTCAGTGTAAGTTGCTTTCAGTTAAGACAGCTCAAACATGCATTTTAGTTTGGGACTAGCTTAAGCCTTGTAAGTGTCATTTCAAGGGTCTTTATATTTGCTACTTTAAAGAAAAACTCAATTATGTTCTAAAAACTAAAACATTCTTCAAAAATAGCTGAAAGGGTCTATAGTGTTAAGGCTATAAAACCAAATCAGGATCACAGTATTCTGGTTAAACAGCACTTGTTTTAATATGCTATTTATTAACACTAGATGGAGTCAAAGATCACTTAAACAATACTATATTTGAAAATGTAATCTGGTTAGCAGGTTAAGCATGTAATCATGCTAAATCCATGAAGACATATTGCTTTGAATAGTCCTATGTATTTTTTTAAAACTAATGAAATCAAATGTCTAGTGTAAACTGTGAAGTTCTTGATATGGTCCGTTATAAGCATTGTGAAAGGTGTCATTACAATGATCACAATGATGGAAAAACTGTATCTGTATAACTGCACGTCGTCAGTGCTGGTTGATTATTGTTTTGACATTTCAGATACTGATACGAAACAAAGTAAAATGATCCATGACTATTATATGTACTGTACACACACGGTTCCAAATTATGCAAGTGACATATCAGTTAGATTTTAGTACACTAAACATTTTTCAAAGAAAGTGTTTGTTTGATTTCTCATCTTTAGATAAGTGGTATCAATCTCAGACAGGGTTACCAGGAAAACCTACTTAAAGAGGTAGTTCCACATTATTAAGCAAGTCACAGTTCTCGTGCAATATGGGGAGGAAAAAGATCTTTCTGAAGATGAAAAACTAAAATCTGAATGTTAATTCTATATATATATAGTAAGTGTCACTTGTTGTCTCTATGAGGTAATTTAAGCCGCATGCTTTGCATGTAAAAGAGACAGTCAACACTGGCACGCCAAACAGTCTTTAATAGCCTTTGGGGGGAGATATATTTTATGCCAGCTCCCTGCACTGTTATGATCTTAAAAAGCTCATGTATTCAGTCATAGCAGCAAATGCCTCATGGGGAAAATTATTCATATTTTATGTTTGTTAACTTTCCTGGAAATTCCCAGACACAGAATTAAAGACATGCTTTTGTAGTGAAGGTCAATACATTTTTTGTTATATTTGTTGTACTGTTATAGTCCATTTATTCATCTCAGCTCCAAGAACATTTTTTTTTCCTGCAATAGCAAGAGGACTTGATGTTAAAGAGGTTAGATCCATGATAAAAAGTTATTTTAATATTACATATAAGTAGTGTCAGTGATTTGAGGTGAATTTATCCCGACAAAGGTAATCTCACCATAGTTTACAAGGCAGATGCTGGACTGATTACCAATATCTGGAACAAACTCTGTCTGGACCAGCTCAGTAGATGATAAAGCAATAAAACACTAATGGTGAGAACATTAGGCAAGCTGCTTACCTCTGTTTAAAAAAAAAGAAGAAGAGAAAACTCTGGATTTTCTTCCATTATGCAGTGTTTTTGAAGCAGATTTCCAGATAGCAAGTTCAAAGTTCAAAAACCTAACAAAAAGCTGAATAAATATAAATGTGATATATTAGTTTATATATATTTTTGCCATAATAGAACAACCATCTTTTAATTTTAGTTAAAACGTCACATTTATATTATGGAGAGATTATGCTATTTTAAAACAATTCCCAAGAATTATGTTGTACTTTATCATTTGTATTCAACTCAGTGTGTTCGAATAAAGGGTTTCACAAACTCAAAAGAGAAAAATAAGAGGTTATATTCTGCATAAAGAAAGAGTCTCGGACCATTAAGATTTCTTGCCTATGTTTTTTTGTATTCATTACTAATCACATTTTTCACCAATTCCTACATTAACTGGAGGAAATGTGCTTAATTGTCAAGAAACTTTCAATTCATTTTCAATTCTTTTTTCTTTCTTTTTTTGGGGGGATGAAATTTAATCCAGATTTGTGCTATTCCCAACCTTTTCTAACCTTTTTTATTTGAGTTATGTATTTTCACCCCATGCCCTAATCTATTTTAATGGACTGTATCTTTGGTTAATCTAAAATGCATGAACTAATGTTGAAAACTTTTTTACAACACTGCCTATTCAATCTAACAATCTATTCATGAAAGATGGAGAGTTGACCTGACCTAAACCATTTCATGGCAATTTACCTTAGGGTCTTTGCTTTTAATAGATTTCTTTTTGATGGTTTTCCTTTGCATTAATGCTCAATGTTGCCTTAAAGTTTCTTATCACTTTATAAGTTGAGTCTGTTGGCCTTTTTATTTTATTTTTATTTTTACTTAAGCCAAAGCTAACATATGCTATGCCAAAATGAGCTAAAATGTTCTTTGTCCTCATCATTTCTCTAATTTCAATGGACGTCTGTGGTTCACAGTATTAGATTTTATGGTAAGGTCAATTAATTTTCTTACATAACAGAAATATTTCAGAGTCATTACTCCCCCCTCGCCTTACCTCCCCCCTCCCTCTTTAGTTTGAGGTTATAGTGAGGAGATAGTTACATCATTTGCTGCTGACTTGGGAATTTCCCAGACCGATTAAATTGATTTCATAGGATGTTCATAAGATTAACATTGCTAATAAAATGCACGCTACAGATTTGTGTAGCTCTGTAGAATAATCAGGGCTCGAATTTCGGTGCGGGATTGCGGGTATTGCGCATAATTCTAATCATTCGCACAGGTCTCCCATTTATAATGCGGGAAATTCCCGCAATCGTAATCCACACAGATAATAAAATCAAATCATTCTTTTAACAACTATCTTCCAGACGCAATTTCACAAACAGCGTGAGTGTTCAGCGGTGGCGCGCGTCTTCTATCTCTTCTCTCATAATGTGTCGTGCAAGGCAAGCATCAAGCGCTGCGGCGATAATGAGTTACACACTCGCATTTTGGAGTCGGGACCATAGACTGTAAGGTCGGGACATGACGGAATATTCACTTGCACAATCGGGCCAGCAGTGCATCGTGACTGAAGTCTTTTTAAAGTCTTACCAGTTTAAACATTCAAGCGATTTTAAACTAATCAGTGCTCGCGCGCTCTCTGAGAGATTATTTTCTATGCGCACATTCATAGAAAATCCGCCTCAAAAACAGCTGGCCACTTGGCCAGTAACTATTTTTCGCGGATTATATTGCTTTAACACGCAAAATTGTCAATTTCGGTCTTTGTGAGTGAGTAGGCTATACTCTAAACAGTCGGTTTTGTCTTTAAGCATAAAACACATGCCAGTATAATAAAGACAGGATCCGTGCACCATGGAAGTGACGGCAGCCAAATGTCTTTCATTAATTTTGTTGTCAAAACAACAAAAGATAGCTTTAAGTGAAAGGAATCAGGATTAATAGCCTATGTATTTAATTTATTCAGGACTAAAATACTACCCAGTGTTATTTTCCATTTGATTACTTTATTCAGTTTCTGTATATGAATATGCCTACTAGTGTTAGACCCATTGAAAAACTTTTCTCTTTAATTGTCTTTATTTGTATCTTTATTGAAATCTATTTTCAAAATATATATAGCCTACATTGTGTATAAAAGTCCCACTGTAGGCTAGTCAATAATTGTGATCTTTGATCACAATGATTATCATCAGAAACGTTTTGAACAACTCAGAACGTCAGAGAAGAAAGGCATATAGGCTATTCATCATAACATCGTAATATACATCATACACCCGCTATATTGGGGGGGGGGGGGGGGGGAAGTCCACTTCTAAACATATCTATTAATTACTAGTACCTAGAAAAGCGCTATATAAATGTAACGAATTATTATTACTCTCCCTCAAAACCTTTTTTTCCATTTGCATTCACGCAGGCCAAGTGGCCATAGGGACTATAGGAGGAGTTAGGGAGTGATGCAAGCACGGCAACGATCTTTATACCGTAAAACTTCAAATAATAGCTGAGTCCCAAATAGACGCCTGTCTCTTTTACACGCCTGGTGTGGCGACAGGTTTGGGTAAATAAAGGCCGGTCTCAAATAGAGGCCGGGTCTGTTTTTTTTTTTTTAGTTTCGGGTTGTATTTAATAATCTTCTAAAACCCGTCGGATCGCCAAAGCAAATTTTTGTCCCGCAAAAAGGCTTTTTTGATCGGTGAATGTTGTAGAGTAGAATAAATGATGCGTTTGACTGACAGGACGCAAACGAGCAGAGAGAGAGAGCGTCCCGGCCGCGCGCGCGCACACTCTCACGTCTTCACACAACACAAGCGCTGTCTTGCTTCCTCTCTCTCCCTCGCGCATATTAATCAAAATCAATGGACATGATAGTAAAAGGTTCGTTTCTTTATAATAGGCATGCTAATCACAATCATATAGGCTACCATCTGGGCCTGCACGGCGGCAGGAAAAAGACACCGTGCCTCTACCTTACGATGATTTTGGTACACCAAAGGTAAGTTAGATTTGTGCTCTGGAGTTCGGCTGATAAACTGCCATGAGCTAACTAATTATATTGCTATAGCGCTGATATTGATATACCGGTAGACTAACGTTATATCACTAGCAGTTTTTTTTGTGTGTGTTTTTTTGCTACTTTTTACAGTCTATGTTTTTTTGTGCTGCGTAGGCTGAATCGTAATCGCGTGATTCGCGTCAAGACACCTGATTGGCTAATACTACACACTGAAGATAAATTTAATTATTTTTATTTAAATAATTTCTAAAAAATATCCCTCTCTTCATCCCACACCCCAAACATGACATACAAAATATTGTGGAACAGAAACAACAACCAGATATATATTTATAAGCTATCATTTTCATCGTGTTATTGTCATCACAGTTTGCCAGCAGCACCCCTTCTTCCCGCGTCCATGCGGCATGCATATCAATGTAACAGCATAGCTGCCAACTCTCACGCATTGGCCGTGAGACACCCGCATTTGATTGGTTTCACACGCTCACACGCCACACTCCCGATTTCTCACGCTGAAGTGTCAACCCTGTCGGTCAAATGCCTGGAAGATGAGTTTATCTATATATCTACCTGTTGAGCCACTCGTGATCGACTAGTTATACCGCAAATTCGTTAAAAATCTCCCGTTATCTAGAGCGAGCGTGCATGCGAGACAGATATTGTGCTCCAAACCGCGTAGAGCGAGCGAGAGACCTTGCGCGAGCGAGACCCCCCCCCCCCCGTCAACAAATCTCACTCGTCTCCCCCCCCCCCCAACAAATCTCACGCCGAGCAAAACTCAAAAGTTGGCAGGTATGTAACAGTAAGCTGATTTAGGCTAAACACACCTTCAATTGGCATGGTCTGTGATTTGGTATTGCATAAGTACCATGTGACCCTAAAGGATCTCTTTATAAGTCCAGGCAGCAGAGGAAGACAAGGGATTCTCTCAAAGACAGCTCTTAAAACATCTTCAACTCAACGAGCAGACCAGCATGTCTTCTATGAACCGTCTTAACAGTAGCACTGGTAGGTTAAGATTCCGTTCTAATCTGAAGTACGAGGTGCACAAAACTTTATATCTGAAATTCTTCTTTTCCCAACAGGCTTGAAGAAGACCAGGTCAAAGAATAAAGATCAACACTTCACCGAAGTTCATGGTCTGCCGTGCATTGAGAATCTGGTTTGTTCTGTAGATGAAACCCCAGAGCCCATCACAACCACAGTTACAGGTAACATTCCCTCCTGGATCAAAGGCAATTTCCTCAGGAATGGACCTGGAAAGTTTGAGATCGGAAGAAGCAGGTGAGTATCATTTGGGGTCCTTGAGAACTAAACAGATCACAATCATCACAGGAAAGTAAATGAGCTGTATTTGATCCTCAGTTTCAACCATTGGTTTGATGGGATGGCGCTTCTGCACCAATTCCACATCGAGAATGGAAATGTGACATACATGAGCCGCTTCCTCAACAGTGATTGCTACACTACGAACCTTGAGCATAACCGCATTATAATGTCTGAATTCGGCACGGTTGCAATGCCAGATCCATGCAAGAACTTCTTCCAGCGCTTCCTATCACGCTTTGAGCTGCCGAGTGAGTGTGATGTCTTTGGTTCTGATTGAAGTGGTCTGAATTATGTTTAGCCTATGTGAACTTGTCACTTCTCTCTTCCCACAGAGCCAACTGACAATGCAAATGTAAGCTTTGTTCAGTATAAAGGAGACTACTATGTCAGCACAGAGACCAACTTCATGCACAAAATAGACCCAGAGACACTTGAAACAAAAGAAAAAGTACATACTAATTATGATTTTTTTTTTTACATGTATAAAGTATGTTTGTATGGAGAACAAACAAGCTGAAATGTGGAAATCATTGTGCTCAGGTGGACTGGAGTAAATTCATTGCGGTTAATGGCGCCACAGCTCACCCCCATGTGGATCCTGACGGAACTACATACAACATGGGCAATTCTTACACTCCAAAAGGTTAGTCAGAAATGTAACTTAAAAAAAAAAACACTGATTGATTTTCAGAAATGTCTAAAGATTAGTATTCCTCTTCAATTTTACTCTTAGGTGCCTTCTATAATATAATAATGGTGCCGTCAAAGAAGGTGAACCAAAAGGATACCTTGGAAGGAGCCACAGTTGTGTGCTCAATCCCCTCAGAGGACAAGTCCAAACCATCATACTATCACAGCTTTGGTAAGAGAGCATTGCCTACAATCTCTTATTGGCTATGTAGAGAAATGTAAAATGTGTATTTTACAAATGTAAATTTTACAAACATATTTGCTAATAAATAAATAAATAGATACTTATAGTGTGTTTGTGTGTATATGTATATATATATATACACTGTATCTTACAAAATGTGGTGTTGGTAAGATATAAAAAAAAAGAAAGAAAAAAAAAGTATCTGATGTTCAATGTAAAATGCAGTAAAACAGCAATAGTGTGAAATACAATTTAAGATGTTTTATTTTTTAATACATTTTAAAATGTAATTTTACACAGCTATTATGCCAGTTTTCAGTCACATAAACATTTTAATATGCTTTAGTGCTCAAGAAACATTTCATTATTAATATTGTGCTGCTTCATATTTTTGTGGAACAGTGATGCATATTTTTTTCAGAAGTCTTTAATGACTATTCTTTTTTTTTAATAGAAATCTTTTGTAACATTATAAATGTATTTACTGTGACTTAATTTAATGCATCTGTACTGAATAAATATTATTAATATATACATTTTCTACATTTTCTTTCTAAACCAAATCTTACTGACCTCAGATCTTTAAATTGTTGTGTGTATATATTATAATTGTGAGTATACTATTTTAAAAACAAGTGACTTTTTGCATCAATTTTGGTTGAAATTTAAAATTATTTTATTGCAGCCATGTCAGAGAACTTTGTAGTATTCATCGAGCAGCCAATCAAAATGGATCTCTTGAAGATTGTGACAAGCAAACTGCGTGGAAAGGGGATTAGTGAAGGTGTATACTGGGACCCCAAACGAAACACAGTTTTCCATGTGATCAATAAGCACACAGGAAAGGTAAATGCTTCTAATAAATTAAAAGCATGTTCACATTTTTTTATTTTAAATATTACTCATTTTAAAATGCTCCTGCTTTGGCTCCCTGCGAAGCCTGAATGACTCTGCACTTTATTTTGTTTTAGCCGAGCCTCGTCAAATATTACGCAAAGCCACTCTCAACATTCCATCAGATAAACTGTTATGAAGAAAATGGTTTCCTGATCATGGACATGTGCTGTTCTGATGATGGCCAAGCAATTAACAACTACATGATTCAGAATCTAAAAAAGTCTGGGAATGCTCTAGATGAGGTAAAACTTTACCTCTACAAGTAAATTCTATCTATGTGTAAATGCGCCCTTGTTCTTCAACATAACTACTTGTTTTTTTGCTAGATATACAACACAATGGGTAGAGTGTTCCCTCGCCGCTTTGTCCTGCCATTGAACATGGACAGGGACAAACCATGTGGGCAAAATCTCAACACACGCTCAAATAGCACTGCGACGGCCATCAAGACAGACAAGAACAAGGTTGGTTTATGTGGTTAACTTATTTTCTTTCTTTTTCTAATTTATCTGCATGCTATCCAAAGAAACATGAAAGTTTTTTTCTATATCATGTATTGTAAACGATTTTCCATGTGTATTTATGCAGGTGTTTTGCACACATGAAGATCTCCATGGTGATGATCTCCATGAATATGGAGGTCTGGAATTCCCACACATCAACTATTCAATGTGCAATTCCCACCCCTACCGTTATTTCTACGGATGTGGCTTCAGACACCTGGTTGGAGACTCCCTTATTAAAATGGATCTTCAAGGCAAAAAAATAACGGTTAGTTAGGATTAGTAGGTTTATGTACACAGAAATTGTCAGTGACTTTTAATGTGTAGTCTTTTGAATTCATATTTCAACTTATTCTATGACAGGTGTGGAAACACGCAGACATGTATCCCTCAGAACCAATCTTTGTCCCTTCACCTGGTGCTGTAGAAGAGGATGATGGAGTCATTCTGTCTGTGGTCATCACCCCTAATCAGGTATAACACGCCATGTTCGTCAGTGGTATCAAAAATGGCTTGTTACCTTTTCAAAAAATGAGAGAAAATGTATTTCTGGACTAATGAGTAATTGTCCCTCCAGGACAAGAGTACCTTCCTTCTAGTGCTGGATGGAAAAACATTCGAAGAATTGGGCCGCGCTGAAGTACCTATCAACATTCCATATGGATTCCATGGGACTTTCCAAAATGGACACTAAAAGATACTTTTTAAAAGCCCAAATGTTTTGGAAGATGATCATGCCGTCTCTTATTAACCTACTCTCATTTTTTTTTACTTGTATTGTTTTCTCTCTTGAATTAAACACTCAAACTTGTATTTTATAAATTGTCAGTCACAGAATAATAGGGTCTGCTATAAGAATTTATTAAAACAAATCTGCAAATGGTTTTTAGAATTGTCACCACATATTAGCTTTATTTCAGCATAACACCTAAAGTATTTTTCAAATTTTATAATGTATAATTATTAATCATTAAAGTATAATATGAACATGTATAATCAATGTATTATGGATTAATGCTTGTAGAGCAAATTAAATGCATTATATAAATCACTTGACATTAAAGATCTAAACCTATCCTTGTAGTTTGTCAGAGATCAAAGCCAAAGATCGTCTCAGGTGTTCCTTCTTCTCTTTGAGATGAGATTCCAAACTCCTGGCTTCAGTAAGTATATCTTCCAGTTCTCCAAGCGGAGAGGCATCCACAGCTGCTCTTTCCCTTAGAAGATACCATGTAAAATTAATGTTTGAGTATAAACTTTATAGATCCACTGCTGGTGAGGGGTGGAAGAATAAATCCATCCAGTTACCTCAAAACCTCAGAGTACTTAGAAAAAATGCCATTGACCTCTCTGTTAGCCTCTAAAATGAAAAGACATACAGAAAAAGAAGTAAGGTGCCTCACAAGTTTAATATGTCTACAAGAATCCTTGTGAAAGATAATAGTTGTGTTTAAAACATGAGGTAACTAAAAAAGCTGTCATTATATATTAAGTTACATAACCTCACATATGTAAAATATTACAGAGAGTTCTTTAATTTGACAGCATGAGAGAGAAAAACCAGGACTTGCCTGCCACGGCTGTTTCAAAACCATAGGCCATGTCTACAGCTGCTGATCTGAAATGCTGTATCTTCATCTTTTTTGCTGGAGATGTCTCAGCAAATGGTACATTTTCAACCTTCATGTATATTTGTGAGCATTAGTAAAAAGCTAGAAATCAGGAAAATTACTCGGCAAGAAAACTTAATAGAGGTCAACATCTTGCTGTTATGGGTGACAGTAGATTCTGTCATATCAGTTAATTTCCTGATCACCTCGAAATCCTCACCTCGCGTATTTTTGCTTGACACATTTCTGTTCCTCTGACCGCCATAGATTCCACTTTGGTGCTCTCGAGACCGCGTTGTGTCATTAGTTTCCTGTGGCCAAAGAAGAAAGTGGGTGTAATATACTATGAATATACTGTATACTATACTGTCATGATAATATTCTCATATACAATACGATATTCTCATAATCTCAATACACCACAGCCTTCTTAACCATCATCAATATTACGACAAACGTCTGTGTACATTTCTTCTGTAACTTGAGCCTTTAGTCGCCACAAGTTTGTTACATAACGTTACACACATGGAGTAGTTAATAATGGAGTACCAGTTGTTGGAGAGCTAAAATAAAAAAATAAATTAACGTTACCTTCGATAAACTCGGTCGCCGCAGTTCAGCTCACATCACATTCCAACCGCCACTGCTTTTGAACGGGCGGGGCAACTGACCTTTTTCACATTTTCGGGTTTCTCAAAGCAGATGTCGTCATAAAACTTGTATAATGAGAGAATACATTAAATATATTTTTGTGTGTGTTCCCATTTGCTCAATTAACAAAAGAAAAACTCCACAGTCAGTAGTGTTTTGTTTTCACAACTTTCAAAAAGAGGAAAAAATAGAAACACCCTCACAGCAGCGTTAACTATTTTGTTGTTGTTGTAATTTAATACAAAGGTAATATATTACAAAGTATAGTGCTATAAATATACATACATATAAAAATGAAAATATAAAAACGTTGCAGGGTTCATGATGCTGATGACCGGTAAAACACATCGTCATCACAGTCTGTGTGCGTGTCGCGCATAGACGGTCTCGCGTCGCGTGTAAGCTGGACATAACTGGACATATTACTGGACAAAACTGGATGTTATGTAACCTTTCCCGTAATAAGTGCACAACCTATGCAATTGTTAGTCGCAAAATCAGATATAGGCTATATAAATATATCATGTCTTTACAGATTCTGACCAGCAGATGGGGGTTTTGGACAAATATATAGGCCAACCTTACACAAACGAACTCAAAACGGATCTCTCGAGGTGATAAAAAGATCATGCGCAATAGGTGATGAGGAGGCTCTCGTGATCGTTATGAATATAGTAGGAGAAAGAACATCATCTTTTTTAATTTAAAGAATGGTTTATATATTATTATATATTATATTTAATATTTAAGGTACAGAATGTGCTATACTACTACAACGTATTGGCATTGGAATTGTGACATTTTCATGAATATCAAAACACAATAAAATATGGTTTCCCCTAAGTTTTTTTAGTTAAAAGAACCCTTTATCATTAATAATAAAAATAGTTAATGAATTAATTTACCCAAACACATTTTACCCCGATTTTAGGGATGACGTTAATGTAAAATGTTCTTTTTGTGAAACCGTCCCCGCCCGAATCAATCCCCTTTTTTAGTCTTGCCAATCTACAGTTTATGTAAACCAGCAAAAACAAAACATCATGTGCCATGATCTGTATCCATGGTAATGAGTGTGAATGTGGTTGACCGCTAGAGGCGCCCTGTCACACACAACACAGTCATACACAAACATGGCGTCAGGGCAGACACGCAAGATGCTGCCGCTCAGTCGCTGTGCCATGTATCTGTTATTATTACTCGTTCCTGGCGCGATCTCCTCCACGCTTCGTCTTCACCATGACCAGAGATCCATGCTGCCACAGGACAGGGGTTTCTCCCGAGTGAGTGCACACCTGGAACATGCAGAAAGTCGCGTCGTGCGTCTGGAGCGAGAAGTCACGGAGGCTTCAGCCGCGCACCAGCTTCGCGTTCGGCGGAATGCTGCTGGATCACCCGTGCCAACGGTTTATGGAACGGTAAGCGAGGTTTGCATTCATTTAGGTGTGATTGCATATAGGCAATTATGGCAAAAACATAGCTTTTGCATAACCTCATAAAATATTGAATTCACTATTCCCAATTGTTGTGCACCATTCACCTTTGGTTTGCACGCAGTCACCTAGAAGTGTAATTGACCTGTTTGTCAGATGAAGGGTTCTCGCTTGCCCCTTCATGATTGAAATATAAAATATTACTTCTCCGATGAGCCTGAGTAACGTTAACGTGCTTTACCTGATATCTTTTTTTTTTAGAATGTACTATATAAAAACGAAATCTTTTACATTTTTATTCTACAAATAATTTTTCATTATGACAAATATTAATAAATATGCTTATAAGAAGAGATGTTATATTTTGCTGAACAGTGGGTTCAACGAGACGTGAATTTTTATGCAGTATTTTGAATCACACGTCAATGATTTTAAGTTTTGTTTACGTTTGTCATAAAACACAGTACCATCTTCCCTTTTTTGGGGATGCTAATTGCGGTTGTTCCTTCTAGAAAAACAATAAGAAAACATTCAGTTGGCATCTAATAATTATTGAGATTTTTTTATATGATTATTAAATATGTTATATAAGGGAGACTGAGGCTAGTTATTTCATTTTTTTTCCCTCCAGTGAATATTTCACAGGGTAGGTTTATTTTTTAAAGTAAATTTCTTTATAAACACTAAAATCTTGCCTAAAAAGCCTTTGAACATTTTCACAGTCATTGACTAGAAAAAATAAATAAATTGAAAATACATGAACACATTGTCACTAAACACCCTATTGTAGGTTTTTTGGGCAACATTTAGATGGTAAAATGATTTTGAAACCACAAACAAAAAGGTAAGTGTTTTTGACAACTAACTAATGTTGTTTGGTTTTACACTGAAGGGTTTATGCTTAATGTCAGTGTCTTGGGAATTAGAACCAGACTCCACACATCTGTGTTCCTATTAAATGTATGGCACAGTGTTTGTTTGTTTACCGTCAGGATGCAGCTTTATTACGCAAGCAACCAGAGAGGCATAACTGGTTACACAGACTTGCTGGGAAATTTCCCAACCAAACATTTCACCCCCTCAAGCGTTTTGCTTCGAGATGTTTGTTAAGTCAGCCATTCAGCTGTTCCTAGTTTTGCTTTTCAATTGTGCCTTTGAGACCTTGAATGGGTCAAACCACTAAATTTTGTCTGAAAAACAGTCGTTGTCTACAGAACAGGATTGTGGTTGTAAATACAGGTATTGGGTTTTCGCAAGAGCTCGCTGACTTCAGATCATGACCTCAGAACACACTTATCTACCACAGCATGTGATGTTATTATCCAAGCTATGAGCTGTTGTGACTCACTTGTGGCGAATGGCGATACAATCTAAAGTACAGGTATGATGTACAAAAAAAATTCTCAAAAAAGTCAAACTATAAGGAGGGTATTATACCGTTTTATAATTCTTCTCTAATGCTTATGCAGTCGAAGCAGTGGGCGGCCACTAAGATTAGTGACTTTTCACCCTGTAGCGTGTACAGGAAATCCTCTATGAAGTGTTATTAGTGTCCTGGATGTAGACCCTAGCAGTTGATATGAGGTGAATTACCCCCTCAGATGTTCCAATTAAGATATCCCATCTGTGGCCCCCCTTCCTTCCTTCTCTCTTTCAGACCTTTTGGTTTATGTGTTGTGTTTGGCACATAGGGAAAAGCAGTGTTAGGTAAGAAGTAACAGACATCAATCCACTCTTTTTTGGTCTATTCAACTAACCTAGAAAAAGTCCCCAGCTCTGCCAAGACAAGGATATACTCTGTCTTAAAGGGTCTTTTTGTTGTTGTCTTTGCAGACCTGTTGTGACAGACAATTACTCACCAAGTTTAGAGAATTGTGACCGAATCATTATCATAAATATGCTGTTCAGTGCCAGACTCCAAGAGCAGCACTTGAAGGCAAATGCCATGGTGAACTTTGTAGCAATGGGTGTTTTTATTGTGTAAAAAATAGCCTTTAATCCAAACAATCCCATCTATTTTATTAATTCATTATTTGACACATTTGGTTATACGTTTATTGCTTTTGGAGACTTTCTTCTTTCATAATTTATTGGGAAATATTTCACAATTTTGACCTAGCAGCCCTGATTAAGCAATAATTGTTTTTAGAAGAATGTTTTAGAACATTCAAAACAAGATTTCCAGGAAATTTAATTCTTTTCATGGGCCTTGGATCTTGATCCATTCTGTTCCCTCGTATATTAAGCCACGTTAAGTAAACTGCTGGCAAGCAAATGCAATTTTGTTCTAGTATGTGTAAAGTATAATGCAGAATCATTACCATAGAGTACTACCCAGAATCTAAATGAGACTTGACATTCCCTCACCTTTTGCAGGATAAGCCTGGACTTACTTCATGAGTCATGTAAAGTCAGTATTTAATCTTATTTGGTAATATTTTTTTTGACAGTATGCCAGTTATGGTAAAACAATATTATACATTTTTTTGTATTTGCCTTATGTAAAAAAAAATGAAGCAAATTACCCTAATTCAACTTGGATTACATTAGTATTCCTGTTCAAACACGTACGACATTTAAGCAGCCTTACTGGCAGAGTGTTTTAGTTTTGTTTTCTGTGATAAGAAAGTTTAAAACCCTAGGGAAGTAAGATGGAGGGCGGTGTAGATGTTTATAATTAGTGGAGTATTACTGGAACTTGTCTGAACAGCCTGCTGGTTTACTTTTGGTTTTCCTGAAGTTGTCTTCTTGCATTAAACTCAAGGTGAAACCAAATTGACACAGATGAGTCATATAATCTTAAATCTTCCTTTAAGAGTGCGTTCACACTTGGTTTTTTTGGTTCTTTTGGGCCTGACCAAAAAAGAAAATGATACATTTAGTTCTGGTTCGCTTAGCGTTGACAGTTCACACTGTCATTTTTAAGACCAAACCTAAAGATACAAAACAAGAAAACAAACTTTATGACGGAACATGTAATGCAATGCTTTTGTGCTGGAATAAATGCGCTTGTTGTATGTGCGTACATGTGATGGAACATCAACAAGAATACTATAGATGAACCTAATATAATTTCTTGTCAGCAGTTATTGGTTTAAGATGACTTATTCATGTTTTATGTGAATATCAAAGGAGAATGAAAAGTCTTCTTTTCAGTTTATTTACTATGTGCAAATGGATTTAGGATGTTGATTCATTAGCATAACACATCGCTGTAATGGTCCCATTACTCCCATAACTTAATCATACTGCAATAATGAAACAGTCCTTTAACCTTAAGCTTTTAACAGGATAATGACTCCTCGGTTTTCCTTTGGTTACGGCCACAGTGTTATTAAATGTGTGGTTCACCCATATTCATAGTGAGACTCGTATGGTTGGTTGCCAGAAGGAAACCGGTAGGCAAATTGTTGAACTGTTGGCCCAAACGTTAGTGCTGCAGAGATGATGTCATGGTTTCAAGCGGTGCGTTGCTTGCAGCGATGGGCGAAGGTGCTCTAGTGCTTCCACTCTCTCGTTCTGCTTCCTTTCCGTCTGTTTCCCTGCTGAATAATACATAAGAAACTGAAAAGAATTAAATGATTTTTTTTTTTTTCTGTCTCTCATTGCTTTTTCATCTAGCGAGAAGGAAAATGAAGTTATTTGCACTTGTCTTACTGTTGATGCTTTCAGGATATCACGGTGTCCGTATAGACGGTGTAGGTCCCTGTTAGATTAGCAGAAAGTCCATTTGCAAGATAACCAGAAGTTGCAGACAGGCATTTAACTCTCTTTGAATAAGCAGACCCAAGAGTTTGCCAGGCTGAAATGGATCAGGTTGCAACCATTTGCTCTTTTATAGTGTTTGTTGGCAAGGTGGTGGGAAAAGCTCTTCTACACGTACTGATGAAATGAAAACGAAACTTTTTTTAGAGATTAATCAGCTGGTATAAAACCAACAGTCAACCATAAACCATTCGAAGTACAAATTGACATTTTCTCCACGCTAATTTGGTCAAAAGTTCATTGGTTTTTCCCATGGGTGTTCAACGAAATGTCTAATGGCATTTTTTTCAATCTTGATTAACAAATTAATGATTAAAAAACATTTGCACACAGATAATTTAAAAAAAGTAAAACAGTTGGCAGGTTTAAAGGGGTGATGAACTGAGAAATCAAATTTTCCTTGAGCTTTTGACATCTAAGAGGTCATCATATTATAAGAATATCCTGTAAGTTTCAGAACTGAAAACGTCCTTGTTAGTCCAAAAAAAGCTTTTATTGACACCAGGCTCAGCAAACGACTCGTTTTTCAAAGTGGGGAACTATGACGACAAAGAGGATAAAACACCACCCCCGCAGAAGAAGATCAACGCCTACTTCAACACGGCCGGTTTAGCCCCGCCCACCGATTTGCGCATTACACGAAACTCATTATAATATGCAAAACTGTTATCCACTCACAGCAGTGGGCGTTTACTTCCAAGTCTTCAATGCAAGACGGCCATAAAAACCGAGCGTTTTTGAGCTAGGCTCAAAACTAAGGTAGAAAATAGCCTATTACTTATTCATTTTGATGATTTTGAATGTAAAAACCAAGCGAACGTCATAAGTTGACCTCAGACAACAATATAAAAAAAATTAAAAAGCCAGTTCATGACCCCTTTAAGAAAAGCCAATGATAAAAAAGCACTTTAAAGGTTGCATTAAAATGAGTTATCAATGTATTATTTTATTGTTATATTAAATTCATTTTACATGTTTAAATGTAAATGTTTAAAAGTGTTTTTATTTTTCAATGTGCAAAGTGATGTATTTACATTTTTATTTTTGAATAATAAATTGATCATCTATTCCTTTTTTATTTTTAAGTGCAGCTTCTAGTACTCCATAAACTCCCAAACTGTGTAATCTAAACATTGTTCTGTTTGTTTAAGCAGAAATGAAACAGGCAACTATATCAAACAACTAACTGGTTGTTTGACTGGTTAAATATACCTCTACTTTGAATAGTTTAAAATAAATATGTTGGACAAGTTTATAAACTGGCACATTGTTGAAAGATGTTTTTGCGCATCACATTTTGAATGTAACATACTTTATTATGCGAGTTAAATTCAATTTAATACCTTTTAGGAAAAATATGGATTATACAGCTGTCATATTTCATGAATAGATGTAAAATAAACCTAGTGCTTTGAGGCTATATGTAAAACCACTGCTGTAAGATTTCTTAACAGCTCTGTCAGTCTCCAAAATCTCTCTGTTGTACTAACATGCTGCTTGCCAAGCAGGCCTAAAAGACAGGGAGATTTACTGCCTTGTCATGGTGAATAAAAATATGACTGTACATTCAAGGTGAGGTCGTTTGAGGAATCGCTGTTTGTACGTTACAAAAAACAACCATTCCCAAATGAATATCAGTATGCCTCTTTTGCCTATGATGTGTATTTTTTTTTTTTAAATGCTAAAGCATATGGAAGTATTTTTCTTATGTTGAATGTCTGCTGCTTTTGGTTGTAAGTCTATATGTGACCTTTCTATAATGTTAAGTACACTTGTTGTTTGCCAATGATCCACAACTTGTTCCTCAGACAGGAAAAGAAGTGGTGTTAGGGCTTTTTGTTCCTTTACATAAACAACCTTTTGAAGCTTCTCTTTTATGTCTGACAGGAGATATTGGAGTAGAACCCATTTGAGAATGCCATAGTCCTCATGCAGAAGTTTGAATTAAAGATGAGTTCTGTTCTTAGTGGAAAGAGAAGAGGGGGGTGGACATGAAAAGATGAGACATATTTCTTTGTTCAGCAGATCAGATTGGGACACCGCAGCCCATAGCTTCAGTTTTCCTGCCGCTGTGGTCTAGATCAGCTCGCTTCAGCTCTGTTTGTTTTCTCAAAGGCTGTCAGCCTTAAGTGCCAGAGACACCTGCAGTGTTTTATAACAATATACACAACAAACTCAAGGTTGTCAAATACAGATTCATTTTAGCTGATATTACAAATGCAGTATGACTCTGGTGGAAAATTACCCAGTGAGAGAAGCAGAAACTGGTACACGTCTTTGAAAATCAGCTTTGAGTGAGTTGTGATGTGTTATGCCTTGACAGCTTGATTTGTACTGTGGAAACCTGGATACTTGTCTGACCACAGCATAATAAATTCCACTTAAAGCTAGTCAGCTACATTTCGATTAGTTGTTCATTATTATTTTTTGCATTCACAGGCCAACCTGAACGATTCTCATAATCAGATGGTCGTCCACTGGGCTGGGGAGAAGAGCAACGTCATAGTAGCGTTAGCCAGAGACAGCATTGGTGCTACCGATCCCAAGACCAGCTCTGTGAGTATACCATTTTTATCCTAGATCATTTCAAAAAGTTTCTTATCAAATAACTTTTTTTTACTTCCGTCATATAGTGGTTTGCGAAGTATTCAAACCTCTTATTTTGTTTTATGATGTTGCTGCCTTATGTTACTTTACCTTTTTTCACATTAAAGCTGCAGTCCGTATCTTTTCCTCTTTGTCGCCATCTCTCTGTTCGAAATCTGTAACTGCAGTGATTCGCGGAATTATCATCTTTACGTGGGTTGTAAATCGGCATGAAACAGCGCGGATGAACACAGTGCTTTGAGGCGAGTGGTGCTGTCAGTCACCGCGCTGTGTGGATACTGTCATTCAGAATCACAGATTCACTTTTTGAAAGTTTGACCAACATAAGAATTTTCATAAGAAAATGTCTTCTGAACAAGTAACATCCATTTTTGTTCTGACCAACTAAGGGGGAAAAAAGCATTCGACATGATAAGCTTCGTTAGATTTAATCAACGCGATTTACAGCAACCGTGCAAATTATAGCCTACTTTGTTCTCAAATTGTTCATGTTAACAACATCACATCAGCATTGCGTGACTAATGTTAAATTTAATGTGTTTAATGGTTACCTGTGTAGTTCAGAATTCATATTCTCCATAATAGCAAAACGAGAAAGGCACAACAAAGAAACTCCATAACTGTGTGAATTAAGAAAACGTACTGTTACACGATTGAACTATTGAAATGTTTTACCTGTTTGTTCAGCAGAAAAAGCCGTCTCTTCTTCCGTTTTGAACCCCTTCAAAACACGGAGTTCACGCACTTTTCAAAAGCCCGATGTTTAAATCCTTGTGTTCGCATGAGACGGTTTCTTTCTCTAGCCACCTTAAATCCGAAGTACGAAGTCTTTTGGGTTTTATAACTGCTGAATCTCCAGTTGACACTGATGATTGTTGTTTGGATCTTTCTGGATGCCATAAGTTTAATTATGTAAAGTGCTGCGAGAAAAGCCGATACATCTAAACATCTCGTCACGCGCAGTATAGCCGGCTAGCCGAAACTCCTTCTTCATGTGTACGGGTGTGACGTAATGACGCAAAGACATGCTCGAATTTCCCGCGGAAACCCACCAGTACCACTGGAATTAAAGTCATTATTACAAGCTAACCGTTTTGAATCTAGCTATGGCAAGCAGATAGTTTTGACCACTGGCAGAATAAGTTTTTTTTAATATAATTATTTTGGATTATTTTTAACTTAAAAAAGTTACGGACTGGAGCTTTAATATACACTCCATACACCATAATGCAAAGCAAAAAACAGATTTGTGATAACTTTGCTACTTTGATAATGTATTAAATAAAAAGCTGAAATAATTACATTGCGTAAGTATTCATACCTTTTTCTGGGACACATTTCGCTCAGGAGCATTTCAATTTTGCTTGTAGATGTTACTACACTTTGAGTGGAGTTAACCTGTGGGAAATTCAATTCAATGGGTATGATTTGGAAAGACACGCACCTCTCAATAAAAGGTCTAACAGCTGAAAATGCATATCAGAGCAAAAACCAAGCCATGAGGTCAAAGGAACTGCCCCTAGAGCTCAGAGACAGGATTGTATCAAGACACAGATTTGGGGAAGACTATGGAAAAAGAAAATCTGCTGCGTTGAAGGTTCACAGAAGCACGTAGCGTTCATAATCCTTAATGGAAGAAGTTTGGAACAACCAGGACTCTTCCTAGAGCTGGCCTCCTTGCCAAACTGAGCAATTGATGGAGAAGGGCCTTGGTTAGAGTGGTGACCATTAGGGATGCACTAATATGAAAATTTTGGCTGATACGATAATTCTTTATTTTGAATGCGATAACCGATATATTGGCCGATAAATCTAAATTCAAATTTTTATATATCTTTTGAGAGACTGATTACAAAAACAAAAGTCTCACCATTAAAGGTGCATTGTGTAATATTTAGGAGGATATGTTGACAGAAATGTAATATCATATACATAACTATTAGGGGTGGAACGGTACACAGAAGTCACGGTTCGGTTCATACCTCGGTTCAGACGTCACGGTTCGGTACGATTTCGGTACAATGGAGGGAAAAGCAAAACAAAAATGCAGAAGGCATTGTATTTTTTAAATAAGTTTTTTTAATAAAGGCATAGAACCAGTTTATTTGAAGTGCACTGACAATAGTTTTATATAATTAGTTTATTAATTAAATTAATAAAGACAAAAAGACCTTGCGAAATGTTTGGTAATTGTACCTGAATTAATTTAAAATTATTTTGCTATATCTCAGATCAAAATATTTGTTTTTCCTTAATTTTAATTAACATTATTAATTGACAATGTAACATTATTCTCTTCTGAATTATAAATAATTGATTTCTGTATAAAATAATACTACCATTAAAAAAACACATTCGATTTTCTTTTTTTAATCAATGTAGAATGTGTAAGATTAGTGCTCCGAGGACAAGAAATGGAAACCAATGCAATATGACGAATGTCCAAAAGATGGAACACACAGACTGTTTTGAAATGGAGTTGGATAAATATGTTTTGCTTTTAAAACAGTGTGTGTGTGTGTGTGATTTTGGTTGGGTGACAGTTGTAGGTTACAGTTTGACAAGAGTTTACAGTGTGACAAAAGCACAATGTTGTGTTTTATTGCGAGTGTACACAAATATAAGTAAACACTTTGCAGGTTTAATGATCTGTATGAACAAAATGACGGAGTATGTTTTTTATGTTTCCACTGTTCGATCGCGTGCCTCTCTCTCTCTCTCTCTCTCTCTCTCTCTCTCTCTCTCTCTCTCTCTCTCTCTCTCTCTCTCTCTCTCTCTCTCTCTCACACACACACACAGTTCGATCGCGCCCGCGCGCCCCTCTCTCTCTCTCTCTCTCTCTCTCTCTCTCTCTCTCTCTCTCTCTCTCTCTCTCTCTCTCTCTCTCTCTCTCTCTCTCTCTCTCTCTCTCTCTCTCTCTCTCTCTCTCTCTCTCTCTCTCTCTCTCTCTCTCTCACACACACACTCCAGCATTGCAATCTTGACATCGCTGCCTGTTCATTATGCGGTCACGGTCACACCAAACGCGAATCGAGCGTCAAATTCGCATCTAGTTCGACGCTAGTCCAAAGCGAATAGGACGCGCGTATAAAGCCAACGTTTGAAGTGAACGCGCGTTCAGAGCTAAGCCGATGGTACAGATTTTGTGTCCCTAAAGAACCCGCGTATCTAACAGTAGTTCCGCATTACATTAATTAATTTGCACGCGAGTTTTATTTATTTTTATACCGTGTATTCTCCGTGTAAATTCGTGCACCGAACCGTGACGCCCGTACCGTTTCGGTTCGATACGAATACATGTACCGTTCCACCCCTAATAACTATGTTTTCAGTGGTGTATAAAGACCTTACAAAATGAACCGTTATGTTTTTATTACCTTAGAATGAGGCATTTCTATCTACATACACCGCGGGTCCCCTTACATTGAAATAGCCATTTTGCGCCGACATGCTTCTACAGTAGCCCTAAACGGACTACATATGTTGTTCTTCGTGCAAAGAAGCAAGCTAAAGTCAGCGAATAAAACACGATTTCCATTACACGAGAGTAGATGTTAAAACTTCATGCTGATTTGTACTCTGCTTTCGCCAAGATAAGCACATATTAAGACGTAGCTTTACAGTAACCTATGCTTCTCCATCCATTTACGCTTCCTTCCATATGGTGATGTGAATCTCCTTCTGTCCGGCGTTAACGGCTGCAGTGTACTTGGCGCGTCAGCACACACAACGGCTGCAACTACAGTGTGGTCTCCCCAGTGGACCAGCACGACAACCGTCTGGATTGAGCCGAGTAGGGGACATCTCTAGGGTCTTCAAGTGGGCACCTTCCGTCCTCAGTGTTTCGTCGACTAGCCCACGACACCTCAAGAGGGCTCGACAGTGACTCTGGGGTCCCAGAGTCACCCCCCTCCGTCCCCCACTCAACTCAGCCCAGCTTCATGACCTTTACGTCCCTCCTGCTACTGAGGTTGCTCCTTCCTCGTAGTTCACATGTGTCCTAACCACAATCTCACAATCTCTCCGCAACCCAACCATACGCGCCAACCCGTTTGACTAAGGCTGTCGAGCCCCACTGTCTTCGTTAAAGTAGGTTCAGTGGCAACGGTTCTGTATGGCATACTACCATATCCGCCCAATCACCAACCCTCATTCACGCACTATACACAGGAACGTAATAACTGTCATTACTATGCAAACTATACAAATAAACCAACAGACTCTTTGAGTTTTTCAAGAATTCTACGAAACCGTAGCGTGGCGGCCTGTACACAGCCAGCCAGAATATTTCCGTCTCAACCACAGCCAGTTGCTGCTTCTCTCTGCTGCTTCAGATAAGTTCTTTACTGTGCGACGCAACTCTTGGCCACTGAATCCGACGTCTCTGAGGAACCGGGTTGTAGAGTGTGCCACAAATCCTCGACAACCCACTGGATAAACCTGAACTCTCCATCCTCGCTGTTCTGCTTCAGTGGCCAGATGAGCATACCGCAGTTTCTTCCTCTCATATGCCTCATCTACAGCATCCTCCCATGGCACTGTTAACTCTATCAGTTGAACAATGCGTGCTGATCCAGACCACAAAACAATATATGGTCGGGGGTTTGTGGTGGCAATCTCCGGTGGAAAAATAACCAGTTGATCAAGATCAGCCAGCATTTTCCAGTCCCTAGCAGCTTCCAGTTGTCCTGGGCGAGAATTGGTGTTAACACCTTTTCTTGGTGGTTGCTCGCCTGGGCGGAGGAATATTGTCTTCTGTGTGTAATGTTTTGCTAGAACAGGTGGCAACTTATTGGTCATGTTACGCTTGCCTTCCAATGCTAAAGCCAAACATCGCAGTACTTGGTCATGGCGCCAAGTAAACCGCACTTGGCTAAGAGCCACCTTACATCCTGTCAAAATGTGCCTTAATGTGGCAGGTGATGAACACAAAGGACAAGAGGGATCCT